TTTTACTGTAAATTTTAATTTAAATAAACATTTACAAATGTCACATTTATCTCTCGTTATTTAGTTTGAAGTAACTCCAGATTTTTCCCCCCTCCTATCCTAGAAAACAGGTCCCATCCTGCATAACTACTTGCTGATATGGTCATTTATTTTTCCCTTCAAAGTGGTGGAATGCTTATAAAAAATAAAAACAAAATCTGTAATTTCTTTCTTTAAAAAAATTTATTTATTTATTTTAATTTTTATTCTTATAATCAGTATTAATTATAATTAATTATATTAATAATTCTGCCCAGCTTTAATTCTGGCATTTGTCCAGACAACAAACAGATAGCACCTCATCTGTTTAACTCTCAGTCAGGTCCCGCTGAACAGGGGCCACAAAAGACACACAGGATCTAAGGCTTGAATTATTGATCACTTGGCTGAGGGGGGAATGAATCCTGGGGTGGCTCAATCCTGGTGACAGACGGATATCTATGCAGATTATTCAGTTGCCAGCTCTCTTTTTCTCTCTTCAGTGGAGCGTGTAATACAGAACAGGACCAGAAGGCCAGAATAACATCTCATATGATAGCTTAGGACGTGCTTTGTGTGTTCTACAATTTCAAATGTGATTTGAATCTTTTGTTTGATCTCAAAGTCAGTGACAGCCAAAAAGGGCAGAGTGATAAATTAATGAAACAGGAGAGCTCAAGGAAACATGCTGTCATAATTTACTCAACTTTATGTCGTTACAAACCTGGAGGATGAGTAAACAATTGTAGAATTTTCACTTTTGAGTCAATTAATCCAAACGCTCCATGGACAGATGAAAGGACTGAGGGATTAGGATAGAGAAGAGAGGAAGAGGAGCAGAGGCGCTGAAGAGAGGGAGGGAGTGAGGTAGGGCTGATCAGTCTAGCAGCTGCAGACACACTCTTACTGTACACAAGGGAAATGGGTCCTCAGCTACACTTCAGCAGCACCTACTCAGAGGAATTCAGTTACCCGGCTCGAGTCAAACCCACCCGGCCCAGACCTTCCTCTGCATATCGCAGGAACAATCCTCATCCACGGCCGGTAAGAGCTTCCTGAACTATTACAACAAATGTTGACCACTATAAATGACATTTGTTCTATATATACATGGGTCTCTTTTGGCATTAGGGGTTTCAGTGATATTTGTTTAGACTAATATATATTTATATATATATTTAGACTAATATAGTTTAGACTAATATATATATTTACTTGATTTGAGGTTGATAAGTTTTCTTAAAAGTCTCTTTGGCTCGGCAAGACTGCATTTATTTGGTAAAAAAGTGCAGTAAAAACAGTAAAATTGTGAAACATTATTATAATTGAAAATAAATGTTTTCTATTTTAATATACTGTATGTTAAAATTGTATTCATTCCTGTGATGGCAATGCCGCTATTACTCCAGTCTTAAGAGTTACATGATCCTGATTTGCTGCTCAAGAAAGATTTCTTATGATCAGTTTGAAAGAATCAGAATCAGAATCAGAATGAGCTTTATTGCCAGGTATGTTTACACATACGAGGAATTTGTTTTCGTGACAGAAGCAGTTGTGCTTCATATTTTTGTGAACAAATATATTTTGAACATGTCTTTTATATTGTGATGAATAAAAGTTCAAAAGAACAGCATTTATTTAGTGTAATATAAATCTTTAAAGGTGGGTTACATTCATTATTTACTTGTTTTGCATTTTGTGAGGTGTTTGTTTGTTTGCATTCTCTCACTTAGCATTATTTTGCTGCTAATGTGTGAATGACACACAGCTGTATGAGTGAAACAATTGGGTTAAAATGCAGTATTGCGGTAAGAAAAGCACTGTAAACAACAGGCACCGTTTTTCAATTAACTTGAATTTAACTGCCCTGACAAAACATTAATAATTCACCATATTCACCATAGAGCATTGTAGCCGCTTGATTCTGCAAAACAACCTACATGTGGGGGGCCTTGTACAGGAAGCTCCGGGTTACACTGTTTCCAAACCACTGAACAGGGATCAAGGTTGGGATCGACTGTGCTAGCAAAACAATCTAACCTCTGCTGGGTCAGTGTTACAGGCTATTAAGTGCCACTTAGGGTTGGTTTTTCTGAATCCCTTTTGCCACCCAGGACTTCCTGATGCCAAGAACACTGCAGACAGGATATGGCTCACGGAAACACTTTCAGACAACTACTCCACCTACCTCTTTTCTACCTCCAGTCAGACACATATCAGTCCAGTATCCAGGTATCAATACAATCTGTGTCACTACAGCTGAGGTTGAGTCAAAAAAAATCACTGTCGTTGATCAAATCAGTGTAGTTGCAAATATTCGTGTGTTCAGTACCAGCTCCATACAAATATATAAAATATACTTGTATATATTGGGACATATATATCTACAACGTATCAATGTTTTCTTTCTTTTTGCACGGTATTGACCTTAAGACGTACAAACAGCACATGGACAGTTGATGCAGAGCTCATCACAAAAAGACTCCAAACCACCTGAGGCCTCGCGTTGATCAAATCAGTGTAGTTGCAAATATTCGTGTGTTCAGTACCAGCTCCATACAAATATATAAAATATACTTGTATATATTGGGACATATATATCTACAACGTATCAATGTTTTCTTTCTTTTTGCACGGTATTGACCTTAAGACTTACAAACAGCACATGGACAGTTGATGCAGAGCTCATCACAAAAAGACTCCAAACCACCTGAGGCCTCATCTGCAGTTTGTACACTGCCACCTGCTGCCTGGCTTCTCAAACCGCAACAAACCAACTTTGCTCATGCAACAGTCACAAACACACAAGGGTAATGCTTTTGCAGTTCTACTTGATGCATGGGCATTGCATAATTAGTTTTAGTTTAACCTAAATATTATTTTATGACATTATTTTATGTTTATGTTAAAAGATAAATATCCAGTATTGCAGTTTGTTTTCATTAATGTCTTCAAACGCAGTGAATACCTGAACATTCCTACTGTATTTTTTCTGACTACGACACTATCAGTTTATGAAGCCATCATGCTGTGATTTTGTTCTTAAATTCATATAGTTTTTAGGATCATTTCTTATTTGTACTCAGGAAATATTCAGACACAGATCGTATCAGATCAGCTTGGAAACAACAGATGGACATCATGCCATCTTTAAAACCCTTCAAACACCAGGTTACCCATCATCACAGAAGATCACGCTCAAAATTCACAACTGATTGCAGGTATTTTATTACAAAATCTTGAAAAAACAACAACAACAAGCAAACAATAAATAAATAAATAAAAACAAAAATTTAATTATATTATAATTATAATATATTATACACCTCTCTTGTTCACCAAGACTGCATTTATTTTTTATAACTCAGATAAACAGTAAAATTGTGAAATATTATTATCATTTTAAATAAATGGTTTCTATTAAAAACTTTTTTTTAAATTTAATTTATTCCTGTGATAATAATGTTGAATTTTTAGCAGCCATTACTTCAGTCTTAAGTGCCTCCTGATTCTTCAGAAATCATTCTGATATGCTGATTTGATGCTAAAAAGCATTTCTTATTAAACAATTAATTTAAACAATTTTAGCTTATTAAAAAACAATATAACATACTAACAACAATAAAACTATTTAATACATACATAAAACAGATAAATAATTGCAAATCCCTTTTCAGTTATGAACAGCCACTAGAGATTGATCAGATATATGGTCTTTCAAACATATTATAACTTGATGCTTTGATTCAGTGCTTTTAATGTAATCATGCCATTCTGCTAAGCTGTAAATGTGTGTTTCAGCATAAACAAGGCGCTTAATGTTTCTGAATGTCTGAGATTATCCCTTTTAAATCCAGATGTTCTGGTTTGCAGTGAAGGACACAGCTGTTTCCATGTGGTGAAACCATATAAAGTTGGACACTACATCATCCACCCAGAGTTTGTATCAGAAGCAAAGCACTACTAAAAGCCACAGTGTTTGGGCATTTTATAACTTTTTTTTTCATTTATTGTCCGTTTGATAATGTCATTTTACAGTGTATTATTGAGGTAGGCCTACGTTATGTGTTTGGAGATCATGCCTTGTAAAATATGCTTGGGTGCAGCTTCATTTTATTGACTGTAGAATGTATTTTTGGATGTAAATGTGCATTGCACGACAAATAAACAAGGTTTATGATGTGCCTGTTAAATGTTTGTTATTATTTTGTCTTACAAACATTACCATGGTAACTATAGTTTTTATACAACGTAAATACGACATAGCCTATTAAAGCTTCAACTTACATTAACATCCCAACATCTAGGTGCCCCATTTTAACTAATGAGGGGTAGAAAACACCTTTTCATAAAATAGGTTAAATTCGTAAATAGGTTGCATTAAATTGATTTATTTAACCAAACTCACACCAGTCAAATCAGTTGATACATTTGAAATCTATTTTGACAACTGGTTAAAATAGTTACTCTATTCAAAACCATGCATTATAGGCTGCCATTATAGGCTAAAAAGACCATAAAAATGCAAACTTTGCCACCGCTGTCATAAAAAAATGTATTTAAACATTTTATTTATTTAGAAAATGGCTAAAATATACTTTAAAATAAAATGTCCTATTTAATAATTATAATAATATAGAAAAATGTATTTATTTATTTTCATACCACACTCTTTAACGATCGACATATTAAAATAAAGTAGCTTTTTAGTTTTAAAGTAGTGATCGTAGTAACGTTAAATGGTATTTTGGCGGGATGGCGGGTTACCATGGTATATTGTTTTGTATATTTTTGAGATCCACAGAAAACAAACTTGTTAAGCGCTGTTTTCTTTGTTAGACTAATCAACACATACAACACGACATTTTGTATATTTATAGCTGCTGACAGGCAATCATACCCAAACCGCAATATTACCACTTTCTCTTTCGCTGAGTAGCCTATAAAACTCAATTTCCCAGAGTTGCAGAGCGAGTCGCCACATAAACTCCTCCCATAACAAGACACGGCGTTTTCAGCGTCTTGAATTGGTTGAGGGAACAACATGTCAACAAGACACGAAACCAACAGTCCTCGAGCTGGTAAGTATGTTATTTCATGTAACTGCAAATGTTTAGGCATTTAAATAGCGAATTCCTCCTGTCAGCCGCGGTAATACCCTGCGTGTTTTACAGTAGACTCCCCCTTGCCTGATACATCGACCACTGGCTGTCTTATTTCATTTCATGTTGTAAAGAGATTTCCTTTGTCGTTGTCCCATGATAATGTGACCATTTAAGGAGTTTTAGATCTATTCTAATATTATTGTAGTGACTACTACATATCTCAGTACTTGTGTTACACTTTGACCCATGTGATAACCTATCTGTGTGTTAGGTCTCATCTGTTCTGAGTTATTAAAATAGTCCAGTGCTTGGCTATTTTAGTAAAAGTTTACTTTCATACAACGTGGTGATACAACTCTGACCTATTTACATGTCCATGTATGTACAGTACTGTCATTGCCCTTTTTGAGCTTCTATCTGGAATAAAATAAGGTAGCAAAGACTGAATAACCAGTTTTCTGTTCATAGTCACATGATCCGAATCAGCAAAATTATGTTTACTTGAGAGCTGTGAGATAATACATGATCGCTTCATCCCATCAGAAACATTTTCTTGTTATTGTGCTGGTATCTTGGCAGGATTAGGACTGCTGTGGACAGCTGACTCCCAAAGCTTTTGATATTCTTCATATTCTGTGAGATGGTTAGTTTGCAGGAGTAACAGAAATTAACTTCTAAGTTTAAATTGATTTTTTACCTTTTATGGGCATTTTTACCTTTATAAGGCCATTTTTTTTCTAACCTAATTAAATGTATGCATCATCTTTTGTGTTAAATTCTAAAATGTAATCAATATGCAAATATTTAGATACTGTAGGGCTGTGATTAATCAAATTAAATCAGTATCAACAAAATGTGTGTTTGCAATGCAGAGGTGGCACAGAATCTGCATCTGAAGTGGCATTTAGATGCATTAACACAGACTGTTTAATGCAGGACATGAATGCAGTTAACCTGCAGTTACAAATGCATAATTTATGTTTTGATGTTGTTGTTTTGTAAAAAAAAAAAAAAAACCCAAAACATTGAATACTGATATTTGAAATGATTTGGGGAAAAAAAGGGGAACTATAGCCTACTTTAAATATAAACCTAAAGTCAGCTGTAGGTGGCGGCACATCACTGCATGAGTGAGTCATTGAGTCATTCCTTCAACCGATTCATTCAAACGGCTGATTGATTCAGTAACGAAACACTATTGTGTATTATAAATGTCATATAAAAGTAACGCATATAAAATAACAAATATAAAAGTCATACGGGGGCATTTTTGCCCCTGTATCTTGAATTCTGGTGGAATTCTAAATGTATTTTAATAGACTAAATCATGCAGTGAAAGCGTGAACTAAATGGGCACACACAGTAGTCTAATCTACATCTCATAGTGTATGCGTACACTCTCTGGGTGTGTTTTTGTTTGGTTTTTGTGATATACTTGATAATGTCAAATCGCATATCGTTTAAACCACAACTACGATATTATCGTAGACAATATATAAGCACACCCCTAATTACAAGTACAACCTTTTTTACTTCTTAAATGTAATGTTCTGATTCAAAACGTTTATTTGGTTGTTTTGATTCAAATCTCTTTATTTATTTTTATTTTTTTTAAAGTGACTTGACAAAATGAGACGGATCCCAAGGCCACTGAAAAGGTGGGCAGTCACTGTTACATCTTATTAGTGTGCTGTACATTTCCCTCAAAAACATAAAGAGGGAGCCTCTGCACTGGCAGTTCAGCTCTAGGTCTTTCTTCAGTAGAAAACATTGTCCATTAACAGTGCTTTTCATTTCAACCAAGTGTGTCTGGTGGCACTTAGCCAGTCTCAAAGTTTTGCAGATGGCGTTGAATACTGCAGACCCAGAGGCCCTTGTGTTGTCCTCTGGTGCAGTCAATTCACACACTGCTTCAGTGAGAAACCTTGGCAGCATGAATAAACTGATTTGTTTATGCCTTTACCTCCCAGCAGACCAATTCAGGCCGATATCAAAGCTAAAGTTTTTTTTTTTTGAATACTTAATGCTGGAATTTGTACTGTGATTCCTACATCTGCATGACAAGCAGATTTTTGTTTGGACTTTGTTTCAACCTTTTACATTGACACGTTTTGCCACTCCTTTTCCCTCAGGCTCATAATGAACAAGAGGAAAATGTTACATTGAGAGAAGGAAAAATGGATGCAAGACTCAATTTTGCACAAATTTTGCAAGTTATTCACTTTTGTTCTCTGTCTGCCAAATGTCTTCTATAGTCTGTATAAAATTTTAGCCTGCAGTTTTATCAGCTTTTCAACTGTGAATTCAAAAACTAAGACTCAGAATGTACCAAGTAGTCCCAGGAGGTGCAGGAGGAACAATTACTGATGGCATGCCCATCAAGAAGATAGACAAGGACAGTCGCCCTCTGGTGGGGGCTGGAGTTATTGGTGTGATTCTGGTGATTGCAGCAGTGACTGCATGGTGCTATTATATTGCCTCCCTACGTAAAGCTGACCTGCTGAAGACAGAATTGCTTGATTTGAATAAGGATGGCTTTCTCATCCGTAACCAGGCTGGAGGGATTGTCTTGAAGATGGGCTTCAGGTCAGTATGCATGGTGCATATATTCTTCTGATCCCAAAATGTTCTGAGAGCACTGCAGACAACAGTAATATAGGTCCATGAAAAAGAAAAGGTAAAATCTTTAAAAAAAGTACTTTAAAACACATGCCAATTTGAAATTAATTGAACTTTTATACCATTTTCAAAAATGTAAACAGGTTTTAAACACATTTTCAAAGTAATTTTTCAAATATCCTGAATAATTAATAAATACCATTGTTTTGGGGTCATTGTATGAATGGCATTATTAGTGTATTTTTGATCACATGAAAGAAAGAAACTAATATATGCTTGCTGATTTCAGATCTGGCACGCTTGATCTAGACTCCTGCTCGAAGGAGGGAGTGATCCTTCGCTGCTCACGTTCGTTTGCTGGCAAGGTGAACTTCTTCATTATGACCGTAAAGCCAAAGGAAACGGTGATGTGTTACCGTGTGCGTTGGGAAGAGTTGGAGTCAGACCGACCTGTGGAGCACGCCATGTCCTACAATGAATCGCACTGGTATGGTGGTGCTGAGACTGCTGTTCAGCATTGGCCTATTGCCATTTTGGGCCAGCAGGCACCCAAACCTTTTGTCACCAGTGACGTGTACTCCAATCGCCATGACTTCGGTGGCATCCTGGAGCGCTACTGGCTTTCGTCCAACGCGACTGCCATTAAGATCAATGACTCTGTGCCCTTCCACCTGGGCTGGAATGATACAGAGAAAACCATGTACTTCCAGGCACGATATCAGGACAGTCCATACAAACCTGCACCTGGAAGGCCTCCCTATGCTGAGCTTAGTTACAGAGTCTGTGTGGGCCCAGATGTGACCTCTATCCACAAGGTCATGGTTCGTCGATACTTCCCTAAACCCAACAAAGTGCCTGCCAAAGAAATGTTCTGGCACCCAATATGGTCCACCTGGGCTTTACATAAAACTGACATCAATCAGGAAAAGCTTTTAACTTATGCAGAGAATATAAGCAAACATGGTTTTAACTGTAGCCACTTAGAACTTGATGATCGTTACACCAGTCAGTACGGGGAATTTGAGTTTGACACACAGAAGTTCCCAAATGCTTCTGCCATGTTTCAAAAGCTCAAGGCAGATGGCTTCCTGGTATCCCTGTGGACACATCCCTTTGTGAATTATGATTCTACCAATTTTGGGCCATGTGTACAGAAAGGGCTGTTCGTGATGGAGCCTACAGGTCAACTTCCTGCCTTGGTTAAGTGGTGGAATGGCATTGGTGGAATCCTCGATTTTACCAATTCAGAAGCTCGCAACTGGTTCATGTCCCAGCTTCGCTCTTTACGCCAGAAATATGGTGTTTCTTCCTTCAAGTTTGATGCAGGCGAGACCAACTACTTGCCCTGGCAGTTTAGAACTCGAGTCCACCTCCCCGACCCAAGCACCTTCACTCGCCGCTACACCGAAATGGCCATTCCTTTCAACGAACGTGCTGAACTTCGGTCTGGCTACAGCTCTCAGAATATCTCCTGTTTTTTCCGTCCAATCGACCGGGACTCTGTGTGGGGCTATGAACTTGGCCTGAAGTCCCTGATTCCAACCGTCCTCACTATTAGTATCCTGGGCTACCAGTTTATCTTGCCAGACATGATTGGAGGCAATGCCTATCCCAACCGTACTGATGGAAACAGCAAGCTGCCAGACCGTGAGCTCTATATTCGGTGGCTGGAGCTGTCTGCTTTCATGCCTTCCATGCAGTTCTCCATTCCTCCATGGGAGTACGATGACGAGGTGGTGGCTATCGCTCAGCGGTTCACCGAACTACATGAGACACTAGTGGCTCCCAGGGTCATAGAACTGGCTGGAGAAGTACTGGACACTGGGGACCCCATAATTCGCCCATTATGGTGGATCGCCACCAGTGATGAAACGGCTTATAGAGTTGACTCACAGTTTTTGATAGGAGATGACTTGATGGTGGCACCAGTACTGGAGCCGGGCAAGCAAGAAAGGGATATCTATCTACCAGCTGGACGCTGGAAAAGTTACAAAGGAGAACGATTTGACAACAAAGAGCCAATACATCTAACAGATTATCCAGTTGATCTTGATGAAATTGCTTACTTTGAATGGGCTCAGTGAGACTTATGGGAAGCATCTGGAGTTTTGAGCATGTCTTCCATTAAAAGGGTTTGTGAAGATATTAATTAATTTTTTTTCTTCAGGGAATTTAGTTATTCATCCAGGGTTTAAATTTAACAAAAACAGGACTATTTAAGAAATAAGCTTCCGGTTGCATATTTTGACATTCTTCATCAGCTTGGCTGTGCTGTTTTGTGCCATTACAACAGTTAAACATGCATTCGATATCTGAAGCTAATGTCTTAATCCGTGCCTTGCATTTAAACAGTGAATGTCTTTGAGATACCAGCCCAAAACTTTGACACAGTTAAGCTTTTACATATGCTTCTTGCCAAATTAACTAACTTTAAGGATGTATTAACGGGCTGTGACAGGTAATTTTGCACAATATATCCTTGACGTTCTCTCATCTGCATTTTTAAAAAGGGAAATTTTACCAGTACTGTACATAAGCCTTCCTCTTGCAAGGCATATGTTATTATTTTCAGATGTTCTCCACATAGCAAATCAACTTGATTTCTCTGAAATGTACAATTTTGCGAATGCATTTAAAACACTAATGTATGGCTTTTTAACTGCAAGCAATAACAATGTTGCATCCCCTATATACTACAGTAAACTTAGGCTGTGCATGCATCACATTTGAGCATAATCTGCCCTACTCTTGTCTTGTAAGCACCAATACTTGAAATAATCACATTAGAAGTTTGTATGAGTAATGTTGCATTAATGACCAGCAGTCTTTTTTAATCTACTTGCTAAACTGTCATTATGTAGTGCCAAATACATCACCAACAGGCCTTGTTCAAGCATTACTGCATTACTGCCACATTCACAAAAACATTTCCTGCCACATAAAATACAGTTCTTTTTCTTTTCATATTAAGTTGATGTGTGCTGCTCATCTTGTTTTGAATATTGTGCCGTGCTGCCTAATTTTTGTGTTTTGCAATAAGGGCACAACACTTAATGCTTAGTCAGTTAATCTTTATCAGATTATATTTTTGCTGTGCAAGGGTCACCTTTGTGTTTGTTGTGTTTGTTTAACGCTCTTCCAGCACGCTGACAATCGACTTGCACTGCAAGCTTTCTCTAATCTACGACCTTCAAGCTTATTTTTAGCTCTTCCCACACAACTGTGAAAGCGCACTCATCCACTCTGGTGAAACAATGAATCTGTCAAGCAATGTATCTGCTCTAAAAGTAGCTACAGAGTACGTAGACACATGGCAGCTGCCTTTTCAGTACTTGAGCACCTCAAATAACCGTTTAGTGTGTTGCTTCCTGGTATTTTAATAACTTACTTGAGAAGAGGTGTTTGGGATGATTTTCTTCACTGGGACTATGTGCTTATGGATTTTAGAGGAGATTTTATGGATTTCTGAGGAGATCTTGTTAATAGGCCCCTGACAGTGTGGGCCCTTGGTTGAACCAGACAGACTAGACTGCTGATGTTCCAGTTTTTTTTTTTTTTCCATAAAGACTGATATTGTGTGAACATAAATTCCCAGAAGCAAAAATGCTTGTTTGTACATCTTATAGACTTTGTGTGTGTGTGTGTGTGTGTGTGTGTTCCTTCACCATCATCTGTGTGTGGCTTTTAAAAATGTCTAAAAATATCCAAAATGTCTCGGACTAATACATTTCTGTTTTTATTTCAAAACAAATAGTAGTGAATGAAAAGTATTTATTTGTTTTGTGAATAAAACTGCATTTTGCTTTGCATTTCACATGTCCTGGAAAAGCAAATGCTGAGTTTGACCAGCTGCCCTGAAAATAGTATCGCTCTCCAGAGTGTCACAGGAGGGCAGTGTTCACCTGCTTTTCTAGTCCTCCACTTGAAGCTTGTGAAGTGTGTTGGCATGGCACAAGAAAATCCTGTACTTTGTTATTTCAGTATTTTTCTCTCACTGAATATAATTAGCCTGATATTGAAGTAAAGTGGTTCCATTAAACTTTTGACCTCTCTCAAGAGTTATGAGTTATTAATTGTATACTTTCTCCTCTGCATTAATTGTACTGCCCTACATTAGCGATAGACTTCAGTGGTCGAATGATGCCACCCACTCACTATTCAGTTCACTATTTTCCCATTTTATAACGTTACTGGACTTGAGCAGCACATGGATTTTGGCACTAATATGTGATGCAATTTTGGCTCGTCTTTCCAGTGGTTATTAGTTTAGTTTATTTGGCATTATGCAGTTGGTTCTGCCAGCCTCAGCCCTCTGTGTATTTCAGTATGGATTTCCATTGTATTACTAATTTGTGGGCAGTAAATGAAAAAGTTAATGAGTGATTTTATGGAACAACTTTGTTGACTTTTGTTGTAAGGTAGGTGCAGGCTGTAAGATTTCCGAACGATTAAAGAATGACGGAAATAAGGGCAGCTCGAATAGCAACTTAAATGTTAATACCCATTCTTAAAATCCAAATAGTCCTTTTGAAATTGCATGTACAAATAGTTTAGATCTAGTTAGTGAGAGATGATTTTATGCCAGAAAACCACTGTCCACAGGTTTTACAGTCTCGAGTGCCGGTTTGCTCCGTCTCCACCTCATTTTCCTTACTGGCAGATTGGGCTGCATTTCTTTGCTAAGTTCAAATGAGGCTTTCAGGCAAGGGCGTCATGTGTCCATGGATTCATTGAACCTCCAACCTCCTCAAGCCCCTCACAGGAATAGTAATTGCAAAGCAGGTTAAGCCTGATCAAAGTTTGAATCAGACTTTGGTCCAGCATTGAATGAAGTCTCCTCAGAGAGGCATCTTCTTGGTTTTTTAGGCCCTACTCATCATTGGTAGATAATGACAGTGTTGAGGTAATTTACAGGTTATACGGAGGTTGCCCTGGATCAATAAATCATTTAGTTGAGTTTGGGACCGAGGTGGAACCGTGATTTGATGAGCAGGAAAGGGCAAAGACCAGTGGTGGCCTGACAGTAATATGTTTGGGCCAATCATTGGACAAGACTTACAACACAATTCCACATTAAGAGAATTTAGTTTTTTATGTTATAAAATTTTTTAAATCAAAGATTTAATACACTGAATGGAATGCACAAGTCAACATGTAATTAGAAAGGAAGCTCAAATGTTTGATTTTTGATTTCATGTGTTATATTGTGCATGCATTATTATTGCAAAGAATAATAATAATACATAATGATCAGCATGATCATGCATATTAGTGAGTGAGTGACGTGACATGTAACTAGGTATGGTGTCCCATACTCAGAATTTGTGCTCTGCATTTAACCCATCCAAGTGCGCGCACACACACACACACACACACACACAGTAGTGAATGCACACACACACACACACTGTGAACACACACCCGCAGCCAATGTTGCTGCACCCGGGAAGCAGTTGGGGGTTCAGTGCCTTGCTCAAGGGCACCTCAGTCGTGGTATTGAAGGTGGA